TCATTTCTGCAACTGCTCATGTGGCCTTAGATGGTATTTAGAATTACATTCTTCTACTACCCATTCTGTATTTCTTTTACGCCCTAAAAGACATCAGAGGGTCATGGATCTTTTCCTGGAAAAAACAACCCATACCTTCATTGCTGATTGGTCTGTGCCCTTTTTGATCCTTCTAGGATTAGATTGATGTAGCTTCCCAATGACTTTAATCACAGGGCACAGTAGCACCAATGGTTGCCCTAAAGGATCTCAAACATTTCAGACATAATCCTTCTTACCATCATTGTGGAGAGACAGTCCAATTTCCTCATGATAATCTTGATATATTAACCATCCTGATGATGTTATTCCTTTCTTAGTTTGATATTTTAAGGCCATTTAAAGCCCCAAATGAAAAGGGGTCAGTCTGAGTTTCCAATTCATTGGAACATTTGTTGTGCTTCCTGGCAGGAGTAAAATGACTTCTGAACAAAAGCTTCAAGGCCAGCAAAATTTAGTGCTGCAGAAGTAGGAAGCACAGACTTTTCTAGTTGGTCACTAGCAGTGATAGTGAGTAGAAGTATTCACATTCCCATATCCTGCTTCCTGGATCCATGGATGCTGGCTATAGGAGAAACATCATATATTGGATGCTGATTCAGAGCATATACTGCCTTCTGGAGAAACTTTTCCCAGACCCTAGATGTTGCCACATAATTGGTGCTGTAACCTTATATTCAAAAGTCCAAAGTCAATTCCATCTTCTATCAGGCCATATCTGGGGCTCAATGTTGGTCTCTGTTGTTGGCTGATCTGGCACACAGCAGCAACTGTAGCCAGATCAGCTGTGGTGAGTGGAATTTCATGATGAGCTCATGCATCAATCCCATCTTTCCCACCATGGCCACTTTGTTCTTGGGCCCATTGGGCAATGATATGAATGGCAGGAAAAAGAGGCTGACTGTCCACAGAATCATCCTCACTATCTGATTATTGAACTCCTCAGCTTGTCACCTTTTGCTAAACATGTACATGGGATATAGATGTCTTCATGCCCTTTGGCCATTTGAAGAGGTCTATCCACATACTTCTTCCTCATATATCTTTCTCACCAATTTTTCAATCATACTCTTTCCACATTCCTGAACATCTAGTCAATCTTTGTCTACAGTCTGCCACTCAGAGAATAGTTGTACATTTCAACATTTCTCCTTTCAAACAAACTGTATGACCCTGTATACTGTCTGACCTACTGCCCACTGTGTAGATTTCCCTTCACCAGTGTCTTTCAGGCTTGTCCCAGAATCAGGTTGAAATGCTACAGCCATCCACTTTTGGATGGTGCCTGCATGATGTACAGAAACATCGTTAAACCCCACCCTAGTTTTCTCTTCCTCAGTAATCCAATCTTAGGGAATACCCCATGAGGCTATAGGTGCATGCTTGACAGCAGAAGGCATTGTACCAGAATTAGAATCCATAGGCATTTGGGGAATTTCTTCATGTAGCTTGCTTGTGCCTTCATGACCTGCTTGAACCTGGTCTGATAAACACTTCTTTCACTTGATAGGAGATTGCTGCTGTGCAGGTCCTTTTTTATGACTTGGTGGGTCTGATAACACTCAAATTGTGATGGAATGTTCAGGTTGCATGGTGAGGTTTTGAATCACTGTCAAATGGTCCATTTCTCAGAGTGGCTATGATTAATGGCATGTGCATGCATGTTAGAACCATACTTTTTTTGAACATGGTTCCATGAGCACTAGTGGCAGACACTTGAAATGACTTTAATCATTATTGTATTGTCCCTATTCTCCAATGCTCCCATTCTATTATATTATTCAATTTTGTTCATTTCCAGTGACTGTGTATGTGTGTGTGTGTAGACTATGTAGCATAGGCTTCAAAACTTATTGTGATCTTCTTGCCTCTGTGTCCAGATTGCTGATACTAAAAGAATGCACTGCCACACACACCTTGAAATATAATCTTTATGGTCTAAGTCTCATCTTCTTATGGTGGTCAGGGAGACCAGGAGATTTTGTCAGAATCCCTGACACTGGAGTTATATATAGTAGTGAGCATCTATATGAACTGGGAATGGAAGCTGGATGCTCTGAAAGAAT